CCTACACGAGGGACTGCCCCTGTGACATGTAATTCAACCAGGATATAACAAACTGTCAAAAGAACTACTTCTACAAATGAAAAGCAACAGCATTTTGACTTACTTATGTCCTAACACCTAAAGAATGCAGTAGGTGCTAATTATCTGAATATGGATACCTGACATGTTATAAAAGCGACAGATTCCAGTCAGAGAGCCAACGATCCCTCCCTACATGAAGAGAAGTTTTTCCATGAGGTCACTTAACATGGGAAAATACACCCCCAGATCCTCAATTCTTTAAGAGAAAAGAGTTGAGGGAAATTTGTCAAACCTGCCCATCTGGACGATAACACACTGCCGTAACGATATCTTTTATATCAGTCCAATCAACAACTTGGCAACTATTAACTGCCCATATGCGGACTTTTCCATCAATTGAACCACTCATGAAGTGATTATCATCCACAGGGTTAAACTGAACACAGGTTACTGCATCACATACAAAATAAATAAATAACCATAATAAAGAGAACGGTAATTCAACTTGACTAACAGGCAAACTAACAGAACACGTGTTGGGAGAAACTTAAAATTAGCTAGAAGCACACCATAATTGCTGTGTAAGAAAACTCTGAGGCAACAGTCACGTCCCACTTGCCATAGACAGACAGTTTTGTCAACTGAAGCTGATAGTAAATGCTGCTTTAGGAAAAAAAAAAAAGAATTTCTGTAAATATTATGCTTTGTTTTCTTCAGTTTGTTAGAGAAATGCATCCAGTATGAAGCTACTTACATTATTTTTGGACCATGAGAGATCCAAGATCTCTTCCCTGTGCCCATGGAACTCATGCAATGGTTTCTCCAAAATCCGGAAAACTTTTGGAGGGAAAATGACACATGCAGAATCTGATGTTTTCCTCATGCTCCTCATTTTGGCCGTCTTTCCTTTTTCAACCAAGAGGGGTTTCAACTCGGATAATTGGTTCACCGTGAAGTATATGCAGGATGGATCTATTTCTGGAATGTCAAGTTCATTTGATCTCTCACTCTCCAGGACCTGCCAGACACGCACAACCCCATCCTCACCAGCACTTGCAAGGTACTGCCCATCAGGACTAAATTTCATGGTCAAAATTGAACCCTCATGGGCCTGGATATCTTGTCCTTTATAAAGAGCCGAGAGTTCCTTTATTCGCTTCCCATATCGGTGAACCTTAACTCTTTGTACCCTGTACCGCAGAAGTGTATCATCATCATCATCATCATCATGTCTCAATTTGTCAGCTTCCCGTAGGCTATATACAATGCATGAAATGGAACGTATTCTACTCAACCACCCCTTCTTAAGCCTTCTCGGAGTATCCACCATAGTATTTGGTTCCCCAACTTCATTCCGCATAGGTTTCTGAAATGAGGGAGAAGACTCAGAGATGTTCTCAGATTCCTCAGCTGGTACTGACTGTTCTGAGTCCACTTCACAACCTTCATTTGCTTTCACATCTTGCCCCAATTCATCTCCTTCGCACATCATTCCCCCGCCTGAATCACCTTCTCTGCAAACAAAATTCCCCAACAAACCCAACTCCGCTGACAAACTAGATTCACCATTAGACCAACATGACATCATAGACCGAGTAGAGCAAAATTCATCTTCGAAACATGACTTTCTCAATACAGCCCCACTGCTTTCTGGAATCCTATCACTCTCTCCTTCTGGACTTAATGCTTCTAAATTCCTATTCCCATTTTCATTTAAACCAATTCCCATCAAATCAAAGAACTTACTCCGGTGCTCCTGAACACTTCCAAGGCTCTTAATCCATAGTTCATGGTGAAGACTACTCGAAACAGAGTTGTGAAAACTAGAATGAGAATCAAATATCTCAAAGCTATCAGACTTTGCATCAGAAATTGATGCAATGTCTTCATTGGCATCAAAAAATCGGTATTCTTCTTCACTCAAACTTCCCATTACTCTGAGTTCAACCCATGAAACCCCTTCTCAAGGAACCTTTTTTAAGCTATGCTAAAAACTCTATCCCTCAACACAAGCAATCCCAAAATAGCTAGAAAAACAAAAAGAAATCAGAAGCACAAAAACCAAGATCAGCCTCTAGTTTTCATACAAAAAACTTAATAAATCAAACAGCAATGACAACATTAACAATAAAATAAAAACCAAGAGATCAAACATGGATTCCAATCCAAACCCATTGAACCTGGTCCTCTCAATAAATTAAATAAAAAAGAAGATCGAAACTTAAAATAACAAAACCATCAAAATTGAAACTTCAAAAAAATTCATCTTTCACTCAAAAGAACCAAACTTCAGCATTCAAAACATAATCTCACCACACAAAAATAAAAACCCATCAACATGAAGTAGAAGATCATGCGACTGCATTAGTAGAAATAAAGCAGAATTATGAGTTTCGTATTACCATTAAACAAACAAAAAAGTTTCAATTTTTTTGAACAAAATTTTTTAAAAATAAAAATAAAAGGAAATGCTTACAGGGGTTTGTTTTGTTTTGTTTAAGAGATTTTACTAAAATGAAGAGAGCAAGGGTCAAAGCATCCATTAAAATTTGTAAATGTTTTAGTCTTCTCATATATGTGAAGAAAGCAAGGAAACAACAACGACTGTATAACAGAAGGAGAAAATAAAATAAAAATAATTAAGAGGAAAAAACAATGTGCACAAATAAATTATAAATTAAAAAAATAATGGAAGGATAAAAGAAATAATTTCCTTGATATTCGTGAACTGATGGCCCGAGAAACGAGAGTTGCTCTTTAACTCTCTCTCTCTCTCTCTCTCTCTCTACGGTTCTTCTAGCTGAATGACTCATTTTAATTACTGTTTTAAAATTAAAAAAACAAATAGTTAGAATAAAAAGATACAGAGAAGAGGAGGTTGCTATCCGTGTTATTGGCGGGCCGAATTAAACTTTTTCTTGAATATAAAAATAATATAAAAAAAGTAGATGACAGAAAAATAAAATCAAGCATATGGATTCAAATAAAATTTTGACGCAATAATATATTAATTTTACCCATGTTAATTATGTTTATTTGATCAAAGTGTAAATCAAGTCATAGGCTATATTTGTTTTAATAATTTTTTAAAATTATTTTTTTATCTATGAATTGAGAAAAATTTAATAACATTTTAAAAATTAATGATAATATATTAAATTAATTTAGATCAATATAGATTAATATAGTAAAATCACAATTCTAATTATGAAATTAAAATAATTTTATGAAAAAATCAAAATAAATATAATAAACAATAAAATTTGAAAAGACAAGCAATATGCTGTTGTCCGTCTAAAATTCACCCATTATGATGAATAGAAAATTAAAGCATGTGTTTTTTTATTTTAAAAACTTATTTTAAATTTATTTTAATCTAAATAACACCCTTGTTGCATCCAAAAATCAATTCATCACATTTAAAAACACAAACAAGAGTAAAAATTATTTTTCTTGATTTTAATTTGTTTTTTCATGCTATATTAAAGTTTAAAATAATTATTATCAAACTTCTCTTATTAAATAAAGCTTGTTGACAATAAAATTGATTTTTTTGTTATTTTTTTTTATCTAGATGCATTAACCTAATACAACTTTACTCTCTCTTTTTTTAATCTATAAATCATTTCTAATAATTCAACCTAAATTGTTGTTGCTTATTTTCATATGTATAAAATATGATATAGAGGGTATATCATAGTTTATAGATAATTTACTTATAACTGAAGGTTTAGTTGGGTCAAATGGTGTAAACTCCATGGGAATATTGCAAAAGTGTATGACCAATCTTTTTGGGAAAATTCATTTCGATATTTTATTTTTTATCAAATCCATATTTTAAACTTTGTGTGGATAATTTTATGCATTCCACCATACATTTTTTATATGTATTAGGCAATTAAATCAAACAGTTTTATTAACCTTAATTGTTAATCAAAATCCATTTGTTAGCTAAGATGAAAAATATTAATCATATGACTTACAAGTCTATCTAAGATGCTTAGCCAATTTAATAAAATAATTGTTTTAAAAAATATATAAAGTAAATGAATCTAGTGATTTACTGGTTATTCTCTTTCTATTTTCCATTTGAATTTGTGATTTCAATGTTTTTTTAATTAATATAAATATTCCAGTCAATTTTCAAATATCTTAATTAATTTTATAAATTATAAAATTAATAATGATATAAATATCTAATAATTTTAAAATTTATAATATTTAAACTGATAATTTTTAAAAAATAATTTAAAATCTGATTAGTTAAGTTAAATACCTTGTAATGGATTTCAAGGTTTTTATGAAAGGGTGTTATGTTGCTTTCTATATCTAGTTTATTTATTTTATTCTTTCATAAAAGAATTGATTTTTTTAATTAAATAGAAGTAATATTTGATTTTATGATAGTGATTGATTTTTAAAGTATTTTTCATTTTAAAATATATTAAAATAGTTATTTAAAAAAAATTGTTTCTTGATGTCAATATATCAAAATAATTTAAAAATATAATTATTTTTTTAAAATTCAAAATTATTAAAAATATATTCCACGTGGTTAATATTTTATAACTTATAAAGTTTTGACATATATAGCAAATGGATTTTTGTTAACTGTTAACAGTAGGATTGTTTTGCCTAATTTACAAATCATATAAAGTCAAACTTACGACTATCATTATTATATGAAAAGCAATCTATCCTTTCCTTTTATTAATTTCTTGATAATTTAACTTGAATATGATGAATATTAATTTAAATTAGTTTTTTTTAAAGTTAACTTATTTAATGAAATAATAAATAAGGTTTAAATATTATCTAACTTTGCCCACTTAAAAATCAATCCAAAACTAATCCAAAAGATAAATTTATATTATATATGTATTACTATTATATTATATAGGTAGTTATCTTAATCCCCACTTTCTATTCAAAGCCTCAAGCATCTGACTTGGTCATTTAGAGCGCAATATCTCATTCTTTTTGGCAATTTGAGTTTCAAAAAATTAATTAATTAATTAACTAACTAATCAAACGACATATTTCTTTCTTTTTTTAATTTATTTTTTTATGGTAGGAGGTGTTTCAATTTTGTACGATAGAGACCCGTTCGTTGAGCCATTTACTAGCCATGCTCAGTGCATTCTTGTACCATGACCAGTCTAGTTTTTCTCATTGACCCTTCTTAAGAATGTACACAATCTTTTTTCTACAGCAAACCGTTTTCTTGTATATATATTAAAGATTATCCTAAAACGACATTTCCCGGCATTAAGATATGAGAGTTTGCAATAGAAAAAACAAAAAAAATTATCGAGGTAATTAAGGTTTTTGCAATTGAGAAAGAACTACCCTCGTTATTTCTCCTTTTTTTTTAAAAAAAATGGAGATTTATGTAGAATTTAGGTAATTTATGAAAGGTGGTGACAGTTTACAGAGCAATTTATGGAAGGAGGTGGGCGATGACCGTCCTGAGACGGAGGAGTAAATAGTCGGAGGCCGACAAAAATGGTAGCAATAATGGCTTATAAAGAGCATAGGACTCCCATGTTTGTGCATGCATGTTTGCTAATAATAATTGATTGGATTCTGAAATCTGAACAGGTAAATATATGTGATCAAGAACAAATTCTCATATCCTGCCAACGCGAAGATGAAATATTTAAAATAGGATCAATAATCAGAGGGTGATTCTTCCTCGTTAGTTAGGATCACATGATAATTCTTAATGATGATCATAATAATAATAGTCAATAATTAACTTAACAATAATAAAACTAAATTATATATAAGAAATTAATTTCAATATGATTGTTTTTTTGGTCACTAGTTAATTTCAATACATATTTCACTACGATATTTTCTAAGAAATTATGGAGTCTTAAGCAAGAGAGTGGTGCTAAATTCTATTTTTTTTAATCAAAATTAACAATATATATTTTGGAGATTGAATTTTTATATGCAAATTAACTTTCTACTATTTTTTCTATTCTTTTATTAATTCCAAATCACTTTTAAAAAAAAATTATTTGGATAAATTAAAAATTATTATGTATATAAAAAAGCCTAATACCAGCTAGCTTGTAGTTAGATTTGAGTCGTCTTTTTATCCTTTCACCTCTAATAAAAGTGAATTTCTATCATTAGGAAAGAAAAAAAAAAGAAATCAAATAATTAGTTCATATAGTTTTATCAAAATCTCATAATTAATTATTAACCTGTATGATTACGTTTTTAATTTGTGGTTGACATATTCAGGCTTGATTATAGGATAACACTGATCATATATAGTATAAATTAATGCCATCACACACATAATCATGGCTGATGAACTTGCTCTTTTTGACACACCTCTAATTAAGGAACTCCATGATCTTCTCATTTGCCATGAAATTAACCTATCTCAAGCATTTGGAAATATCCTCCACCTTGGTGGCCACGACTAATTACTCTCATCACCAAGGTAATTCATCACTGGCCATATATATAGCCAAATGATGTCTCAAGTGCCGTCCTCCTAATGCGGTTGCCAATTGCACCACCACAAATGGTCAATAGAAAGAAGTGACTTATGGATTCACTTGAGACATCATTGGTCTCGTTAATGAGTGACCTTCTTAATTGTGAAAAATATAAAAAGAATTTTATTAGTTTAATTCTCATAGATAACCTATCGTTTACGGAAAAACTTGAAAGTTTTTTTAATATTAATTTTATTATAATAATTGATCTATTCAATTATAAAAAATACAAAAAAATTTCAATTGATCTAATTCTTAAAAGCGACCTGATAGTTTATAAAAAACTTAGAAGTTTTTTTAATATTAATCTCATTATAATGAATAATTTATCTAATTATAAAAAACATAAAGATTTTTCAAAAATAAAAAATTTTTAGAAGTATTTTCAATGTTGATCATTTTAACGTGCTCTTCCTTTGTTATGGATCCCTTTGAGAATTTTCTTATTAATAACATGTAAAAACATATTGTTTAATGATTTTGAGTTAGATGGTATACATATATCCTTACCTAGTTTGAAATATTGGCCTCTCTTCTCTTTAACTCCCTGTTGCTTGTTTGAAAAGGTTTTTTATTTACGATCTTTTAGCTTCTAACCCACTCGAGTTGACCTATATAAATTTTTTTCTAGAATGTTTGTAATTTTATCTAACTCAATGCTCCTAATGTCCATTACAATTTATTTACTTATTAGAAATTTTTTGTTATGTTAATCATTTTAAGAGGATCATTTATTACTCTTTTTTTTTTCTCTACCAAACATTTACTGTCACTAGTTATCTTGAAAGGATCAAACTACTTTTTGTAAATAAAAATATTCTCTTATCTACTAGTAGTAGGAAATGTTTCTTTGCTCTTTTTATCATTACCATAAAGAGATTAATTTTTCTTCTAAAATACAACATTATCTCATTATATTGGTTATTATTTTTAAATATACTTTGCTAGTGACTCAAATAAATAATGATTTTGAATAACCCTTTACTCTTTTTTTTTCTCTCTTTTTTTTATTGAAGGAATTTTTACTCAAAATGATTTTTAAAATCTTGGCCTTACATTCTAAAAATCAAAATTGTTTTGATTTAAGTTCAAAACATCTTGCTTTTAAAATATTGCAACTCTCTAATAATAATTTTTTATAAGGAAATAGGATGATCTGTTTTTATATCAATGAAATTATAATTGATAAAGGTATATAACGAGATGAACTCCTACTTTTTATGGTTTCAAAATGAAATGCTTTGTATCTAGTAAAGATCAA